GGGGGGTCAAAAAGGACTTGAGTGGAATTTCAAAGAAAGAGAGCAAAGTAGTCTGTTCAAAATCATCAAAAGTCTTCAGTTCCAACAGTACCGTGTCTTCAGCTTCAGATGGTTGTGTTCTAGATACCGTCAAGTCAAAATAACCTGTAGGTGAGATACACTAAAGATTTTGAGTGTTAGCAAGGTCCTTCATTTCCATGACGATTGCAGTCGAAACAGGCCTTCTGCTGTACTGCCATCTGATGTTTCCTGAAGTTTACTTGCATAAGCACATAAACATTTAAAATGTGTCCTTTTTCTTTTGTAACTTGGGTTATTCATTTTTGTCAAAATAAATTCAGGAAGAGTGTGATCTTCCTTTACTACGTCATTTTCTGTCTTGTAAGATTTACATTGTACAAAATCAAGATAAGTAGACAAATGTTTTGTTAGATTTTCCATATATTTAGCCGTTTTTGCTGATATGTAACAGAATATATCTTGCTACTGCTGGATGTAGTTCTATTGAATACATAAATGCTGATTATTTTGGGAGAGTTTTTAAAGAATAGTCGATAGATGTTCGAACTCGACAAATTTGCTTAATAATAGTAAGTTTAGGTGCAAAACTCCTAGTTACTTTATTAAGTGGTAGTTTTGGATATTTGACCTGAATTTGCAACTGCGTCATTTGCTGCAATGAATTTCCTCGCAAATACAGCCTTTGGGTGTATTTAAAGTCGAGCATGTGACCTCGCCTAGAGTCCCCAAGGTGGTCTGCTCACGTATTCTTACTGAGTACATTTCAATGAGACCTCTTAAGCAGTTACTATTAAAAAGATGCATGTGCTCACCGATTGAGCTCGGCAGTCTACGTGGATTTGTTGATGACACGTTGGGATTTGAATCTTCGCTTCAGAGTGTGTGCCATAGCGACTCAACGCCACATGAAGTGTCGTAACTGTGACGCGAGTGCCAGTTTAATACCATTGAATCTCCTGCTTCTAAACCTTATGCTTAATTATTCCGTAGTTTTTTAGCCTGATATTTTACTGAATGATCAGGTCTCCCTCGCACTCAAATCGGTACTTAATTGGAGAATTTTCTCCATGTAAATAAATAAAGGGTACTGTTTAATGTAGCATTTATTTGTAAGTTAAAATGTTCATCACGTTTCTCTTCGCGCAGACGTGGAAGTAACCTCTGCGCGAATTGTTTGTTGAAACCCCTACTGGCACCACTTCTAATCACTTTTTAACACAAAACACCTTACATTCCTTACCTTCTTTCGCCCTTTCAGGAAGTCCAAATATCCTATATTACACCTTGTCTAGGTTAGTACGTCGGTTAAATATTTTTTGTCTTAGTCCCACCATCAATTTCTCACTAGCATCGTCGTGCCCATTTCCTCTGGCCTTAGAGCATAGGGCTATTTCGTGATAAGCAACTCACAGTGCAAATTCCTCCAAAATAATTAAAACTGTTGTAAGTATGATTGTACCGCGCACACCTTTCTTGGTGTTGCAACCCTAGTTGATTGTACTAAAATCTGCCTCACTGAAAACGAGTGTACTTTAAGGAACAAAGGGATTCTTCGCTTACCTCCCGACAAACTTTTAACCAAAACACCTCAGAAGCAGTTATTTAGTTCCGCAAACTTTACTTAATTTAAGAAATCTAGCCTTATTTGGCTTGTAGGTCTTTGGAGGTTGTAATCGCTAGGAGTTCAGATGTAAAAGAAGAATAGAACTGCAACGCAAATAAAAGGTATTATTTTGAAGAAGGAACATACGGCTTTATACATTACTCATTTGCAATGAAGTGGTTTCAGGCAGCATCCAGACGGGAATGATACAAATCGCCTCTGCTGCCTATTGCTGAAAAGAGTCTTGGGTCAACGAAGGAGCAAAACCTGAACTCGACGTTATACAATCACACCTATGGAAGACTTCAAGCGCAGTTCATTATGGTGATGGGATCCTTATCCGCTCACCAGTGAGTCATTGGAAACGTGCCGACATTTTTGAGATGACCAATCCTCCGTCTGGTCTGATAAGAGGTCGGGAATGCATCTACTTTATGATGGACGGGCAAC